GGATAATGCACTGTGTACTTGCAGGGTTCTAGAGAGGATCAATGGAATGATTAGGAAGTGTTCTGCAAAATGTGAAGTTATCAGGGACATTTTTCAGGTGTTTTTATAATGTCAGTCCTGTGCTTCTGAGCTGGAAATACTTTTTCATGGGCTGCTATCTGAGACTCATCCACTACACTGTGTCGTGTTCTGCACCATGCTGGTTACTGGCCTTCACTGCAGTCCTTCAGTCCAAAACTGGGCCAACTCACTGCCACAACTAGGTCCTTTACCTTTTCTTTCACCCAATTGGTTTCTGGGATGTCGGTGCAATGATTTAAAGGCCCAAGTTTTAGAGACAGATTTCCGAGTTCAAATTCTAGCTCCACTGTTTCTAGTTTTGAGGTCTGAGCAAGTTAATTCTAATGTATGCATCTGTTTGATTTTATCTAAAGTGAACTTTTACAAAGTTTTTGTGAAGATTAGCAAAATAATGCATATAAAGTGCTTACTAGTTCCGCATATGCACAAGTATGTACTTAGTCAACATTAACAATTATTGACTAGGAATGCTAGTAGTAATATCTGCTACCCATCACTGAAGCAGCTAAACACACCGCCATTGACAGGAGAGAGGACATTTTCTGCTTGATTTCCAATCACAGGTGCTATGTTGTAATAAGTATCCTTTCATGGATGACCACCTATGCTTTGGCCTGCAGGTTTTAATATTTAGTATTTAAACTGCCATATTCATAATGTTAAAAATGATCAGGAAGCAACATATGATGACTATCATTATATCTACATCTTTTTTCACATGAAGCAATGGTTCTTGACTTGAGGTGTATTTATTCTCCAGAGGACACTGGGCAATGTATGGAGATACTTTGACTGTTTCAAGTTGGAGGTAGTTTCTAGAATCTAAGTGAACAGAGGCCAGGGATACTGCTAAACAAGTTAAAGGATACATATCCACAATAAAGAATCATCTGGCCTATGGCCAGTAGATGCTCAACATCATTAATTATTTGAGAAATACAAATCACAACTATGATGAGGGACACCCTACACCAATCAGAATGGCCATCATTAAAAAGTCTACAGTAAAATTCTAGAGAGGGTGTGAAGAAAAGGGAACCTACCTACACTGTTGGTGGGGATATAAGTTGGTACAGCCACTGGAAAACAGTATGGAGGTTCTTCAGAAAACGGAGCTATGTATGATCCAGCAATCCCACTCCTGGGCATATACCCAGACAAAACTATAACTCAAAAAGATACAGGCACTCCTATGTTCATAACAATTCTCATAACAATAAAATGATTTTTGTAAGTTTTGTAAGAATTGTCATAAGTGTAAGTTTTGTAAAATGGGAGGATCATTTTAAATTAGTGATTGGACAAGTTGCAGTAACATTAATTGACCGAAAAGCCCTAAAAACGTATAAAACCATATTAGCTAGGAGAGGAATATAAGCGCCAGCAAAACTTTTTAGTCAGCTGTGGTGTGCACAGCCCCATGGTAGATGCTCTGGGAGATAAGAAATAACTGAAGACGAGGAGGAGAGCTAAGATTTGAGTGCAGGCAACTCTGACTGATGTGATGAGATGTACTAATCTCATGTTACAAGGAGTTAAAAAAACAGAGCAATTGCTTCCATTTGGTCCACCCAGGATCATCAGGGAAGGCTTTAAGGAAGACGTGGTATTTGAAATGGCTAATGCAGATGAGCAGGATTTTAGTGGTTGAAAGAAAAGGAAGAGGACGGCAAGGATATGCACAGGAAACAGAGGACATAGAGCAGAAAGTGGCTGATTTGGACCAGAATATGAAAAGAGATTGGAAGATTAGAAGAATTGCTTTACACAAGATCAACAAACGCCTTTACTCCTAAACTAAGTAGTTTGATCTTTTAAAAATTTATTGAGAAGCTTAAGTCCTAAAGGTTTTAGGACTGAGAGTGAGATAAATAGAGCTTTCATTGTTGCAATTAATCTGGATATTGCATATCAGATGGAAAATCTGGAGGTGGGGAGATAAGTAGAATTTACTATATCCTGGGAAACAGATGGATGATTAAAGGAGTGGAATGTTGGGGACAGATAAGGGATAGATATGAGAACACAGAATGCCTACTAATGCAAAGGTAATAGAAAATACAAAGGAAGGTCTAATTGGGAGCAGGAAAAGAAATTATTTTAGATAAGAGATATATCAAGGAAATGATTAGAAATGTAGGACTAGAATTCAAGGAAGAGAACAGAGGAGTATCATGAAAGGAAAGAGTTGAGAGAAGAATGGTAAATCAACACTCACGAATAAACACACCCACCACCCTTTATGTTAGAAATTTTCAGTCTTGGCCCTTTTAGGCCAGATGATTTTTCTTCTTCCTTCTTTTTCTTTTTTTAAAAAAATTAAAGTAGAGTTGATTTACAGTGGTGTGCCAATCTCTGCTGTATAGCAAAGTGACTCCATTATACACAGATATACATTCTTTTTTTAGTATTCTTTACATTTTAGTTTATCCCAGGAGATTATCGATAGAGTTTCCTGTGCTATATACTGTAGGACCCTGTTGTTTATCCACTCTGAATGTAACAGTTTGCATTTAACAACTCCAAATTCCCAGCCCTCCCCTTTAGCAACCACAAGTCAGATCTCTATGTCTGTTGAGTCTATTTCTGATTTATAGGTAGGTTCCTTTGTGCCACATTTTAGATTCCACATATAGGTGATATCATATATGTCTATCAGACTTACTTCACTTAGTATGAGAATCTCTAGTTCCTGCAAATAGCATTATTTCATTCTTTTTTATGTCTGAGTAATATTCCATTACACACACACACACACACACACACACACACATATACAAACACCACATCTTCTTTAATCATTCATCTGTCAATGGACATTTGGGTTTTTCCCATGTTTTGGCAATTGTGAGTTATGTATGAACTTTGTTATGGTTCATAATTGAATTATTATGATTATTGCTACCAAATGACTGCTATGTTATTGCTACCAAATGGAAGTAATTGCTCTGTTTTTTAACTCCTTGTAACACGGGGTTAGTACATCTCATCACATCAGTCAGAACTGCCTACACTCACATCTTAGCACTCCTCCTCATCTATTAATTTCTGATCTCCCAGAGCATCTACCATGGGGCTGTGCACACCACAGCTGACTAAAAAGATTTGCTGCAGCTCATATTCCTCTACGAGCTAATAGGCTTTATACGTTTTGAAGACTTTTCGGTCAATTAATGTGTTACTGCAACTTGTCCAATCACTAATTAAAAATGATTCTCCCATTTTACAAAACTTAAACTTTGGCTGAACTAGTTAATTTTGAGTCTACATTCTCCTTAATTTGTACTAATGAGTTTTACGTTACTGATAACACAAATACCTTATGGATCCAGCTATTTTACCACAAGAAAAATCGTGTCTATTGGCAAATAGACAATTTATTAATTTTCCTTAAAGAAAATAACAAAGGGAAAAAAGATCCTCTCCATAATCTAGTCTCTTCATGAAGATTTTTCTCCTATGAAAGTTGCTTAATTTTATTATCTTTAAGTCAGCCTAGGCTGAGAGGAAATAAAATACTTAAAAGTAGTCCCTGATTTTATAAATATATATTTATTAACAATGAGGCTTTTCTCTCCCAGATGGATACTAATAATCAATCAAAACGACTGATTTTCTCACTTTCTAAAGCCTCAAGATTCATTTGATTTCAAGGCCACCTGAAAATGAATATCCCCTACTAGTGGAAGATTTCATACACAGTAACCATTAAGAATATAACAACCATATTTCTATCATCAGAAAAACAAATACAACTACATTTTAAAAAGATGAACATTAAACAAACATAAATCTTTCCAGTGTGGAAGTCTTTCTTCTTTCTCCTTGCCTCATTAAAAAGAGAAAGAAGGATCAGATTGCTGAGTTGGAGTGTAGTTAGTAATATTCAAAAGCCCTAATCTTGTCTAAACAAAGCTCTTCCCCTCTTCCTAGTTTCCTCCTATGAAGAAATCTGAGTTATGACTCTGATGTAAGAGATGGCAAATAATGAATCTTCTTCCACGGGCTTGTGCTTTACATTGTTTAAGATCTGTTTATTGTTCATGAGTATTTTAACAAAAATCTATTAAAATGCAATGGGTTTAATTTGGATTGAATAAAAGACAATCTAGTGTAAATAGCTGGGAAATCAAGTGATCTCAAACTAAAATTTGGTAAGTATCTGCTGTGTGCCAGATACTTTACACACATTGTTTCATTTTAATCTTCACAGTCTATGAAGCAGACATTCTTACTTCTGTTTCCCATATGAGAAAAGTGAGGTTTAATACCTGACCATTATTTAATGAATGTCACTCAGTTGACCAATTTGGCCAGTCCTCAAATTCTATCCTCTATTATGTACCTACAGTTGAATTTTAAAATTTGGGGTAGTCTATTCTGCATTAATATAATCTACCTCAAGCTAAAAATAAAACCATGACACCAGTTTGGGAATATTCTACTTGCAATTTAAAAAAATATGGGGAAGTTTCATTAATTCTGGTCAATGTGGCAGTAAATTTAGTGACTGTTGTTCTTATTTTTTTTATAGAAGCCTGAAGGCAAAGAGGAAAAATAAGTCTTTTAAAAGGGGTTTTCTTCAACAAACCATCATGCTGACAAATTAAATGACAGGCACCTTTCTCACCAGCTGACAGCCTAGCAGGGTCCCTGTTAACATGCGCATTAGGACAGACTGATTGGTTTAATTGGCAGTCATGCTTAAAAACCTGCAGAGGAATTGATGCTGAATGAATCATTTCCTTCAGCAATATTCAGCAGTTTGAATGCAGCAATGCAACCAAAAGCTCTTAAAATTGTCCTATTTATTGTTGAAATCAATCGACCAAGTGATTACTTTCATTTTATTTTCTAAAACTGTGTGCTTTTCATTGAAAGCCATCATTTAAAAATGCTTAAAAGAAAAGATTTCTTACCAAATTTTCCCATATCTCAAACTGGAAGGCACTAGAAGCAGACAATGTCGTGAGGAATAAATCTAGGAGGAAAATAACAGAATTGTAAGCTTTGTTACTGATGTGTACATTTAAACAGGAAGAAATACAACACATAAAAAGTTATAATACAGTTGCATTTAAACATATCTTAAATTTTATATATATACATATATTTATGTACATCAAATGATGCTTATTAACAGTTTATAAGATGTAGATCTAAGCAACATCAATGGTGGGTCCTTTGATGTGACTCCGTTCAAGTTCAACAAGGAATGGTATAAGTATTTTTTTTTTTCGGCCTAAGCACATGGCATGTAGGATTTTATTTCCCTGACCAGGGATGGAATCTGTGTCCCATGTAGTGGAATTGTGGAGTCTTAACTGCTGGACACCAGGAAAGTCTGTAAACTTTATTTTAATGTGCTTGATCCATCAAAGAAAATAAGGCAGATGGCCCTGTATTAATACAATTAAAGAAAATGCATTTAAAGGGAGCATTTAGTATTAGTCATTCAAAGGCATTCTTTACTTTTTTTTTCTTTCATAATTCTAGTTCATTTTATTATAGCAATATTTTTAAAAGTGCCATTATAATCTCAGATAGGTCTCTTAAGCTAAAAAAATATTTTTGTACAATGATAATTGATAGTTCCACATCTAGTCCCACTTTTCCTAATGGATACATCATCCTAAGCAAAGAAGACAATTAAAGACCACCTGCATATTCTTTCTGGTATATTGAAAGTGATAAAAACTATAGAATGAAACAACAAAAATATGTTTTAGGGACCAGTGCTATCCTACACAATGATGCAATTAAATGCATCTTTTAAAAAAATTTATTTTTTAAAATTTGTCTTTTTGAAGGATAATTGCCTTACAGAATTTTGCTGTTTTCTGTCAAATCTCAACATGAATCAGCCATAGGTATACATATATATCACCTCTCTTTTGAACCTCCCTCCTATCTCCCTCCCCATCCCACTCCTCCAGGTTGATACAGACCCTGTTTGAATTTCCTGAGCCATACAGCAAATTCCCATTGGCTATCTATTTTACATAAGGTAATATAAGTTTCCATGTTACTCTTTTCCTACATCTCACCCTCTCCTCCTCTCTTCCCATGTCCATAAGTCTATTCTCTACGTCTGTTTCTCCAATGTTGCCCTGTAAATAAATTCTTCAGTACCGTTTTTCTAGATTCTATATGTATGTGTTAGAATACGATATTTGTCTTGCTCTTTTTGACTTACTACACTCTGTATAATAGGTTCTAGGTTCATCCACCTCATTAGAACTGACTAAAATGCGTTCCTTTTTATGGCCGAGTAATGTTCCATTATGTATATGTACCACACTTCTTTATCCATTCATCTGTCGATGGACATCTAGGCTGCTTCCATGTTCCAGGTATTGTAAATAGTGTGGCAATGAACAATGGGATACATGAGTCTCTTTCAATTTTGGTTTCCTCAGGGTATATACCTAGGAGTGGGATTGCTGGGTCATATTGTGGTTTTAGTCCTAGTTTTTAAAGGAATCTCCATACCGTCTTCCATCGTGGGTGTATCAAATTACATTCCCACCAAAAGTGCAAGAGCATTCCCTTTTCTCCATAACCTCTCCAGCATTTACTGTATATAGAGTTTTTGATGATGGCTATTCTGACTGGTGTGAGGTGATATCTCATTGTAGTTTTGATTTGCATTTCTCTAATAATGAGTGATGTTGAGCATCTTTTCATGTGCTTGTTAGCCCTCTGTATGTCTTCTTCAGAGAATTGTCTGTTTAGGTCTTCTCCCTACTTTTTGATTGGGCTGTTTGTTTTTCTGGCATTTGAGTTGTATGAACTGCTTTTATATTTTGGAAATTAATCCTTTGTCAGTTGTTTCATTTGCTATTATTTTTTCCCATTCTGAGGGTTGTCTTTTCACCTTGCTGAGCAAAAGCTTTTAAGTTTGATCAGGTCCCACTTGTTTCCTTTTGTTTTTTTATTTCCGTTACTCTAGGAGGTGGGTCATCGGAGAAGGCAATGGCACCCCACTCCAGTACTCTTGCCTGGAAAATCCCATGGATGGAGGAGTCTGGTAGGCTGCTGTCCATGGGGTCGCGAAGAGTCAGACACCACTGAGCGACTTCACTTTCACTTTTCACTTTCATGCACTGGAGAAGGAAATGGCAACCCACTCTAGTGTTCTTGCCTGGAGAATCCCAGGGATGGCAGAGCCTGGTGGGCTGCCGTCTATGGGGTCGCACAGAGTCGGACATGACTGAAGTGACTTAGCAGCAGCAGCAGGAGGTGGGTCACAGAGGATCTTGCTGAGATTTATGTCACTGAGTGTTCTGCCTATGTTTTCCTCTAAGAATTTTATAGTTTCTGGTCTTATATTTAGGTATTTAATCCATTTTGAGTTTATCTTTGTGTATGGTGTTAGGAAGTGTTACAGTTTCATTCTTTTACATGAAGCTGTCCAGGTTTCCCAGCACCAATTACTGAAGAGGCTGAATTTCCCCCATTGTATATTCTTGACTCCTTTGTCAAAAATAAGGTACCCATAGGTGCATGAGTTTACTTCTGGGCTTTCTATCTTGTTCCACTGGTCAATAGTTCTGTTTTTTGCCAGTACCATACTGTCTTGATGATTGCAGCTTTGTAGTATAATCTGAACTCAGGAAGGTTGATTCTTCAAGCTCCATTTTTCTTTCTCAAGACTGCTTTGGCCATTCAGGGTCTTTTGTGTTTCCATATGAATTGTGAAATCTTTTGCTCTAGTTCTGTGAAAAATGTCACTGGTAATTGGACAGGAATCACACTGAATCTGTAGACTGCGTTTGGTAGTATGGTCATTTGAATATTGATTCCTCCTGCCCAGGAACATGGAATACCTCTCCATCGACTTATGTCATCTTTGTTTCATTAGTGTCTTATAATTTTCTGTATACAGTTCTTTTGTCTCCTTAGGTAAATTTATTCTACACATTTAATTCTTTTTGTTGCAATGGTGAATGGGACTGATTCCTTAATTTCACTTTCTGATATTTCCATGTATTGGTTTTATATCCTGAAACTTTGCTAAATTCATTGATTAGCTCTAGTAATTTACTATCTTTAGGGTTTTCTATGTGTAGTATGATGTCATCTGCAAACAGTGAGAGCTTTACTTCTTTTCCAATCTGGATTCCTTTTATTGCTTTTTCTTCTCTGACTGCTGTAGCTAGGACTTCCAGAACTATGTTGAATAACAGTGGCAAAAGTGGACACCCTTGTCTTGTTCCTGATCTTAGGGGGAATGCTTTCAGGTTTTCAACACTGAGAACAGTATTTGCAGTAGGTTTACCATGTATGGGCTTTATTATGTTCAGGTAGGCTCCTTTTTTTGAAGTGTTTTAATCATAAATGGGTGCTGAATTTTGTCAAAAACTTTTTCTGCATCTGTCCAGATTATAATTTTTATCTTTCAATTTGTTAATATGGGGTATCACACTGGTGGATTTATATATACTGAAGAATCCTTGCAATAAACCCAACTTGATCACGGTGTATGCGTTTTCTGATGTGTCGCTCAACTCTGTCTGCTAAAATTTTGTCGAGGACTTCTGCATCCACGCTCATCAGTGGCCTGCAGTTTTCTTTTTTGTGTGCTGTCTTTGTCTGGCTTTGGTATTGCGGGGGGCCGGTCTGACTGCTCAGGCTCCTTCTTGGCCCTGAGAGAGATCAAGAGGTCCCTCTCTGTCCCGCCACCCCTGATTTATTAAAGTGCAGGTTGGCCTTTCTCACCTCCCTCAAGGAAATTGCTGTAGCGACCTTTTACCCATTTTCCTGATGAGATTGTCAGGCTCCTGTGTATGGTTTACAGTCTAGGTAATCTTTAGATAATCTTTAACTGATTGTAATCATGATAATCTTTAACTGATTGTAATCATACTAAGACGCCAGTCCCTTGCTCTGATAGTCTTAAAGAGTTGAGATAAAATTCCTGAGCGAAGACTAATGCCTGCGATTCTGCACATATACATGTCCTTGATCTAAATTTAGTTGAGTCCTGTTAGCATATATATGTATGTTACCCCTCAATAAAGTCGTCGGTTTCAGTCGAGAGCTGACTCCGTCCCTCTCAACCCCATCTTTCCGAGTCTTTATTTCTTAGGTATTTTGGTGATTGCGCCCATGACCGGTTCGTTTGCCGGCAGGCTCCGGCAGGTATCGGGGTGATGGTGGCCTCATAGAATGAGTTTGGAAGTGCTCCTTCCTCTGAAAATTTTTGAAAGAGTTTTAGAAGCGTAGGCATTAACTTTTCTCTAAATATTTGATAGAATTCTCCTGTGAAGTAATCTGATCCTGGGCTTTTGTTTTTTGGGAGATTTTGGATCACATCTTCAATTTCAGTGCTTGTGATTGGGTTGTTCATAATTTCTATTTCTTACTGGTTCAGTCTTGGAAGATTGAACTTTTCTAAGAATCTGTCCATTTCTTCCAAATTATCTATTTCATTGCCATATAGTTGTTCATAATAGTCTCTTATAATCCTTTGTATTTCTGCATTATCTGTTGTAACCTCTCCTTTTTCATTTCTGATTTTGTTGATCTGATTCTTCTTTTTTTCTTAATGAGTCTGGCTAAACATTTGTCAATTTTGTTTATCTTCTCAAAGAACCAGCTTTTAGTTTTATTAATCTTTACTATTGTTTCTTTCATTTCTTTTGCATTTATTTCTGCTCAGATCTTTATGATTTATTTCCTTCTACTAATTGTGGGGCTTCTCTGTTCTTCTTTATCCAGTTGTTTTAGGTGTAAAGTTACATTGTCTATTTGATATTTTTCTTGTTTCTTGAAGTAGGATTGTATTGCTATAAACTTCCCTCTTAGAACTGCTTTTGCTGCATTCCATAGGTTTTGAGTTGTCATATTTCCATTGTCATTTCTTTCTAGAGATTTTTTGATTTCCCTTTTGATTTCTTCAGTAACCCGTTGGTTATTTAGAAACGTGTTGTTCAATCTTCATGTGTTTGTGTTTCTTACAGTTTTTTTCTTGTAACT